TGCTGCTGTTCGTGGAGGTGAGGCCCGGCGGGGCTGGCGCGGGGCCGGGCCGGGCCGGGCCATGTGGCGGGAAGGCCGCGCACGCTGCTCCGCGCCGGGGCTGACACAGCAAATCCGGGCCCGGAGAGGCGGGGGGGGGAGGGCTCGGCCTTCTCGAAGGTTCCGCCGGTGCCGGGGCTCCCGGGGGGGGTGGGGGGGGGGGAGGTGAAAGGCACCGCGGTGACCTTCGGCGGGAGCCGCCGCACCGCGGCCTGCGTGAAGGTGACGCGGGCCCGGCGGGCGGGCGGGGGCCTCCTGCGGGCCGCTCCCTCGGTAACGCTTGGCCGGGCCGCGGGGCTCCCGCTTCGGCCTGGGCGCGGTGGGAAGCGGTTCCGCGGTGCTTGAACACCGGCGATGGGATGGGGGCAGCGCGCTCGGCCGGCGGAGCGGCCCCGCTGGGTCTGATCCCATTGCGGGTCGGGTCGGGCCGGCCCCAGCCGTGGAGGTGACCCGGGGAGGGCGCCGGGGGGTGGCGGTCGAGATCCCTGTGTCCGTCCCGGCAGCGCGTTGGGGTCCGCGGCCGCGGCCTCGTCGCTCTGCAGCGTTTCAAACGGCGCCGTGAGGCCGCTCCAGCGTTTGCTGGCCGAGCCCGGGGAATTGCGTGGCCGCTTTGGACTCCGCAGTAAGTTTTGGCCTATGAAGCGTGCAGAGCAAACGGGTGCTGGGAGGACGGTGGATTGTGGCGTGTGTGCGGTGGTGGGGGGGTCTTTCCAGTGAATGCCGACACGCGTCCCGTGGTTAGGAGCCGCTACATGTAAAGGTGTGGGAAGGAGCATCTTCCTGTGGCTCATTGCCCCGGTCCTGAGCGTATTCAGGATGGTCTGAATGTCACTTCATTTGTACGGAGGGGGAAGCACACAATGGGCACAGAGTGACAGCGTTTGGTTTGACTGTCTTTATCTTCAGGAGGAGCTGTTGGAGCGATGGGAGCTGCGGTGGCAGTGCTTGGGTGCTGGATGGGGCTCAAAAGGAGCTGGAGCAAATGGAGCAGCGCGTGTGTGCGTGTTCAGTGAACCGTTTTAAAGCAGAAACTCGACTTGGGTTGCTTCGCTTGGTCTTCTTTCTCTCCCACTGAATGTGGGGCGTTAGTGTCTGTGCTTTCCATTCAGGAAGAATTGGGAAGGTTTAATGATGAGCTCTTGAGGAGAATTCACACTTTCTGAAGGTGCCTTGTCACTGCCAGGGCAGGGAACATGAGTTCTTACCCAGCTGCTCTGAAACACTGGAGTTGGATGCTTAGAAGCAGATGCAGCTTTTACCTTAGGATCATTGGGATTGCCTGAAAAATAAGGTACAGAAGGGGACTGTGCTGGAAGTCCTGAAGGAGGATTCCCTGCCTCCCTTTAGCTGTCAGCGTTACCTTTTACACTTGAGTGTGCACGTGGTGAACGTGAATTGATTCCTCCATGGGGGAGTTTGCTTTTCCTTTAGCATCCCTTGGCAGAAAACACTTGCTGCAGTAAGGGGCTGGTGGGAGGCTCCCACTGTTCTTTGTGCATTATTGGTGTAGCTCTTGTTTCTCACTTCCAGCCAGGAGCAGGGGTGCTGTTCACAGTCCATGATTCAGGTGCGTTGGGAACATTAAGAAATGCATTGTGAAGAGTGGGATTGATAACAGCTGGATGGGCCTGCTTTGGGCTGTGGTCAGTTGGTACCTGGTCCTAATTCGGTGTATTAGGAATTTATTGGGCAAATTGAAATCTTTGTTTTTCAGGTGGGTGAAACAGCGCTCTGATTGTTGCCAGTGATGTTTCCTAGCTGGAAAACCAGGCCTGTGGGAGGCACTGGGTGTTGCTGGCTCTGTTTGCTGGTAGCTGAGGCTTCCAGCTTCCCTCTAAGTGCTCCCCCCCCCGTTCATACAGGAGGGATGGACACACAAGATGGTGACACAGGTACCATCTTCATACAGCAGAACTGTGTTTGCTTGACCGAGGGCGAAAGGAGGCACCCGCAGTCGTGGGATGCTAATGACAGAACCACGCTGCGTTCAGTGGAAGTAACTCTCTTGTAACCATTAAAGTTAATGTGTGTTTTGTGAACTACCTGGGACCTTCCGAGGGCTGAGCTGTCGTTACCTGATCTCCTGTGGTCAGTTCCAACGGAGTTGTTCTTGTTGCTTTTGGTCCGACACCAGCTTTCTCTCTCTTGGTTTGCCTCACAGCCTGGATAAGCTCTGGGGAGGTGACAGGTAACTGGCACGGGTCCGAGTCCACTTTGGACACACGTTTCTTTCCCTACCTGTCAAACCCCCCCGCCAGCTTCTCTTTGCCATGGATTTGCTGATCCTTAGGTTTTTTTTTTTTCCCCTTTCCACTTCTGGAAAATGCTTTGATTCTCGCCTTATGAGTTTTATTAACTTCTCGATTTTTCCCTTGGATTCCTTGTTAGAGAATCAAGTTTGCTCTGGGAAATCTGTCACAAGCTCAGTGCAGGATAATTTGCTATTTAAATAGACTGCTTTAAAAGAAACTCCACGTTTCCATTTTTGCTTGCCTTAATTGAATCTGTTAAATGTAATTCCGACTTGCAGTGAGAAACTGATGCTTTGCCATCCTTTCGCAGCGAGATAGATGCTTTCTAGTTGGTTGTGTGAGGAGCTGCTGAAGGAGAATCTTTGATCCCCGTTTGCCTAAAGCAGTGGGAGCTGGAGGGCAGCTCTGCTGCGGAGGACAGCTTTGTCAGCTCCCGGGCACCAGTTCCTAACCTTTGTAACTCTGGAAAGCTTTAACCTCATCATGAAAGTTCCCGATAGCCGCTGGGAGGGTTGTTGTGCAGCCAATCACAGGGGCTCGGTGGTGGTTGGCCTCAGTTAAATAAGCAAGAATTGAGATTCTGGCCCCCTCTTCAGAAGAGCCGCTCGTGGGGCACAGCACGCTGTACTTTCAACAGGCTTATGGAAATGAGGGACTTCTCCTCTCGGAGTCAGAGAATCGTAGAATAGTTGGGGTTGGGGAGGAGTATCTGAAGGGGTGCGGTGGGGATGCTGGGGAGGGACTCTTCATTAGGGACTGCAGTGACAGGACAAGGGGTAACGGGTTCAGACTGAAACAGGGGAAGTTTAGATTGGATCTAAGGAGGAAATTCTTTCCTGTGAGGGTGGTGAGGCACTGGAATGGGTTGCCCAGGGAGGTTGGGAATGCTCCATCCCTGGCAATGTTCAAGGCCAGGTTGGACAAGGCCTTGGGTGACCTGGTTTAGTGTGAGGTGTCCCTGCCCATGGCAGGGGGGTTGGAACTGGGTGAGCTTCAGGTCCTTTCCAACCCTAACTATTCTATGATTCTATGACTTTAAAATCATCTAGTGCGCGGTGTCTTGCTGTTAGCGTGCATGGCATCAGGGCCGGGCCTTGCCGAGTCGCAGTACATGTCATGAAGTGTTTCTAGAACAAAGAGGAAGCAGCCCACGCTCTGTTCCAGGTGTGTTCCGTTGTATTCATGGCTCCATTCATCACTGTATCACCCTGCAATCAGTTTAGTTCCTTCGTGCTCTTCACTTGGATCTGTGATTTCTGAACTTCCATGTCACCACGTGTGTCTTCTGTTTGCTAAAGGGAGTAACATCATTTGTCATCCTCAGAGTTGCTTTTTCCTTCTGATCCCCTCCACAAGTGTAGTGAGCTCCCTGAAGTGAAGTTTCACTTTATCAGACTTATTCCTTAAAATTGCTTTCTGCATGAGCCTACATTCTGACCTCAGAGACATAAGGCAGTGAGTAAGTTTGTTTTAATGGAATAATGAATCCTCTCCTGGTTGTCTCTCGTCTCTCTTGCTTCGATGAAAAGTAAATTCAAGGAAATGGGATGTGCTGGTGCTCGCTCCTGAAGCGAGTGGGTGCAGCAGGTCACTTTCTTCCAGGGTTCTTTTGCTGGGGAACAATTGCTCTGGCACAGAAGGGAGCTGTGCCTGTGTCCTCTCACACTGAACCGCGTCCTTCTGCTTCCAGTGATACTCTTCTGCCAGGATTAATGGAAGTGGGAAAGCTCCATTGGTGTGTGGGTTCAACCAGTTGTGCCTGTGGGGGGGTCCTGAATCCCAGAGAGGGCCTTGCACAAACTGTGCCCTTTGTTTTGCCTTTTCTCATGATTGTCTTCAGCCTCTCTGGTGGTGGCTGGAGGTTTTTTGTTGCTGGATCTGGGCTTGTCCTTGTAGCAAACAGCTTTGGCACTAGGCGTGACCTTGGTAGAGGAATTATCTCTAAAGCTATTGCAACTGCTTCCTTATCCTTTTGCTTTATGTTTGAGGCCTATGGTAAGGCACTCCTTAATTTCAGAATTCAGAGGCTGGTCTCTTAAATATCAAACTTCCTTATATTGGAATTTGTGTGATAGGAGCTGGGATTAGTGGCTTTGGCCTTTTAAAGTCGAGCCAGTGGTGTGAGTGCAGTGGGCTGCCCTCCGATGCCTGAAGGAACCTGTTTGGAGCAAGCGCCGTTGCTTGTGGGGTGTTTGGAATGCTTGCAAAAGCAGAGTTTCGTGTTTATGTGGAAGGAGTTTGTTTTCTCATGGTAGAGCAAAAGCCATCGCAGTGCTTATCCTCTGTGCTGTTGCTGGACTCCTTCCCCAAAGGCCCTTGAGCAGCTCTTGGAAGGGCACCTTGGAAGGCACCCTGTTTTGCCATGGGAATATTTATCTGTGTCAGATTCCAGGTTGGAATCCAGCAGTTTCTCTTGTCTGTCTCATTGTTTCCCCTCTAACTATGGACTTTGTTGCCCAGTCTCAAAGGGAGACGATCCCCCTCAGCAGCCTGGGACGCTGTGTGTGTATCCCATCACTTGGAACACCTCTCAGTGTCCTTGGCTGCAAGTTGAAGGAAATGATTAGTGTGGAAATTACTAGTAATTAGTAGTAAACCCACTGATGTGTGTAAGATGTAGGTAAACTCCTGGGGAAATGGGGTAGTACTCAGGTAAGTTGATGAGGAATCCTGGCATAGCGCAGGCGATGCTTGGTTAGTATAGATGTCACTAAGCCATTAGTTTCTTCTCCTTGACATATGTTTTTTTACCATCCTTTCTAGGAAGGGGTCTGGAGGAGGGAAAATTTCCCTCTCTGGTGAAAGGGACCTGGAGCATTATGACAGTCAAGTCTTTAAAAGCTTGTGAGTTCCCAGAGTCCTTGACGGCTAGCTGCTGCCTCTGCTGCTCTTGTCGGATGTCAATAAAGAGAGGTTGAAGGCAACACTTCTCATGGAGGTAGAAATGAAATACTTGGAAAATACCAAGGATTTTCCTGTTTTGATTAATGAAAAAGAAAAATAAATCACATAGGTGCTTAATAGCTGGTTAGACACTTGAGATGTGGAACTAGAGCAAAAGAAATCACTAAATTCACCTGTATTGTCTGCCTTGACTTCTGAAGCAGCTCGGGATTGTTTCTCCTAATGGAAGTGTTCTGGTCTCTCCAGCAGGTAACATCCAAGGGCGCTGGCTTAAACCCTAACGCCAAAGTGTGGCAAGAAGTGCCCCAGGGGAGCGGGGAGGCTGTGCCACCGACGAATGGCGCAGAGCACTCGTGGCAAGAAACAGCGGCTGCGCAGGGGACTCCTGCTGAGGGTGAGATGGCACAGCCCCGGGTTTAGAGCCCAGCTCTGCGTAGCACTGAGGCTTCTCTGTAGGACTTCTGCCCTGAGAAGCAACCTCTGGCTCTTGTCCTTGAAGTTGTTAGGATGCAGTATGGGATAAACATGAGAAAGCAGTAGGCACTTTATAGAGATAATTGGCCTGACCAGGATCCCTAAACCACCTCTGGTTTTTAGTGTCCAGAGCTGTGCTAGCACAGGACAGATACCAGGATCCAAGGGGCCCAGTGATGACTGAGTAACGCGCTAAGAGGGAGACAGGATGCTAAATGTGTAGAAATGGTTTCGTGGCTTGTTCACCGTTGCTGCACTTTAGTATGCACTTTACCCCGTGAACGGGAAAATAAGATCTGAGGGCACCTGTGATCCTGGTAAATCACTGAGGTGGTGCCAGGAACTGTTAGACAGGAGCGTTGTGCTGGAGTAGGGACTGCAAAGCATCTGTGTTAACACCTCTCCGTTTAGGCTGATCCTGTTTCAGTCCCTGTTTTCCATACTTCCCATGTGGTTGGCCAGAACTAAATATTCAAATGGTTTAACTCCTCTGATTTGGCCTAGACTTGATCTGAAGCCAGTTGTGTAGCCAATGTACTCAAAGCACAGCAGAGGCCTGTTAAGCAGGAAGCAGAAGACCCCCTGGAAAAAGGCATAGGAAAAGTTAGGGATAAAGACGCAAGGATTCAGTTTGTGTGGTGGCCCTGTCAAAAGTTTCCGGTAAGTCAGCAGAAGCAGAGAGAGAATTCTGAGTTTGTGACACAGACTCCTTCCAGATACAGTGTTCTTGCTTTTAAGCAGTTCCTAATGCAAGTAGTTGAATAGTGTCTCTTCTCCGAAGCGTGTTTTAGTGAATTCATTGTTAGCGTGGAAAAGATCCAGCAGAGGAGTTGATTTTCTTGGAGCAGCCTCCTTTGCCTGATCACACTGAAGTTGTGCTTGGTTTTATCTCGAGCAGCTGTGGTGAGGGCTAAGCTGAGGTGTCCTGAAGAGATTGGCTGGTTTCAGCGTGTGTTATAACAGCCACTAGATGCTTCTGGGTCCTTTATGTAAATGGGAATCACGTAATGCATTGATGTAAGCTACTTCAGTGCTTTGGGTTTAGGAGCTCACAGTAGGTTTTCTGTCGCTGGCTGTTCCTCTGCCAGGTAACATAGAGATTGCAGAGGATAGCTGCAAGCAATATGAAGTGATGTATTCCCCGTCTTGTGAGGCCACAAGAAATGGGACAGGAGTCGATGAAGCATCTGCAAATGGAATTGTCCTGGCGACGGAGGATCTTGGATACCAAATCTATGAAGTGTCTGGTGAGTAGCTGAGTTCAGTGCCTCTGTCAGTACGTGTCATCCTCTGAAGTGTGCTGCAATATGATATGACTGAGTGGGAGCTATGTGTGTTCGAGAAGATCCATAGCACTTGGCCAAGTAGGTGAAAACTGGGATCCAAGTCATTTGAGAAGATGTAGAGTGGTGCTCTGTAAGCGTGTCTCAGATGACCTTTTCCTCTTGGCCTTACTTAAAAGGATTCTGCCTTTTGTTGTACATTGAAACGTGTTCTTGGATTGTGTTCTTAGCATGAAACTGGAACTGATGGTCAGTGTGGTCTCTTCTAGGTGAAGGCAGCTCCACTGTGTCCACAGAAGACATTAGAGAATGCTTGAAAAAGCAACTTGAATTCTGCTTCTCACGGTACAGTGCAGTTAACGTAGCTTTGTATAAACCCTGTATTAAAATCATTAACTGTTTTTTTTCTGGCTTGGTATCTATCTTCATAGAACGCTAACAGTGAGTGAGAGGTGGTTGTGATGTAACACAAGATCTGCTGTAGAAACCCTGTGGTTCCTTCTAGCTGTTCAGTCCCATCCATCCATCCTTGTCCTGTAATGGGGATTGAGTAGGATTTCTGTGCTTACGGCTCACGGTTGTCAGGTGCTGAGATGATTGAGCTGTGTGTTACCAAAAGAGGTCTCTGGCAGGATCCGTCTTGAAGACCAACATGCAGAGCACTGTAACTTCCATTCAGTTTTTGAATTACCTTGCTCTGCTTTGTGTTGATCTGCCAGGATTCTGGCTAGAGTTACGTGTGGATGGTGCAGGTGAATGTTTAGGCCTGCACTTAATCTGTTGGTTTGAGTCTTCTGTAAGGGAAGTTCAGCATTTTCATCAAATAGTGAACTTGTGTCTTTTTAGGGAGAATCTTTCAAAGGATCTCTACCTGATGTCTCAAATGGATAGTGACCAGTTCGTTCCGATATGGACAATTGCCAACATGGAAGGAATAAAGAAGCTGACAACTGATATGGACCTCATCCTTGAAGTTTTGAGATGTAAGTGTGGCTGTTTGGTGTCAGTGGAACAAAGAATCCTTGCTTGCTTTAGAGAAATGTATTGGTCTCTGAGCATGTACTTGGGTAAGTGGCTGTTCCACGCTCCTGAAGTCTCCTTTTGCTTTATAATAAACTGTTTACATCTGGCCCAGTAAGAGGTTGGACAAAGGTACTGTGAGCAGGGAAAGTCTTACTCTGGGAGTAAAGCTGGTCTTCTGATTGAGTGCAGAAGTTAGCTAGAGGTGATAAAACTAGAAGAGGCCCATTAGGAAAAGCTGGTTAGAATTCCTGGGCCGTGCACCCTGTCGCAGGATGTTCCTCGTGGCACGTGGCTTCAGGAGACTGTTGTCAGTGAACTGTTAAAGTCTTGGTTCTGACTCAGTTTCCCTGCTTGACCTTTCCCTGTCGGGGCTTTGCCTAGGAGTGGTTTTATACCCTCTGACTTGAGTATGAGCTGGGAATGAATTGAACTTAGGACTGAGCTTTCTAGATAGTTAAGCTGTAGGTGGAAGCAACATCAAACAGCTAAACTATGCTGAAGATCTAACAGGACATAGCAGATCAAACAGTCCTTTACCCCGAATTCCAGAAAGCTGGATTCTTAAGCAGCTCTTTGTTACGAGTTTGGTAATGGAGTCTGTTACTGCTGAGGTGTTTTGCTGTGCACAGTGTCCAGTATTAAGCCAAGTTTCTGGTTTAATTTCAGCTTCTCCTATGGTACAAGTGGATGAGAGAGGGGAGAAAGTAAGACCAAACCACAAGCGATGTATTATCATTCTTCGGGAGATCCCTGAAACAACACCTATAGAGGTAAGTAAATAGAAATGAAAGAAAGAAGAGCCTGTTGATGGGTTTGGAAGGTGCCTTCAGACAGCAGCAGGAAGTGTTGCTTCAAAGGTCAGCTGGCATTTCATTTGATTAAACACTGATATTTTTCTTGTCAATCACGTAAGTTATCTTTCCTGCCTGGCTGTACTATCAAAAGAGCCAAAGTAAAAACTTGCTGGCGTTGTTGTCCCTTCCCCTTATTTACTTACACATTAAAATGCTCTCCAGTGAACTTCCCTCTGCCCCAAACCTGAGCTGGCTGGGCTTTTTGGGAAGGACGTTTAGACTGGTTTCTTTTCAGATCCCGAAGCAAAACCAGTCCAGGGCATAGCTTGGAATTCAGGCTGAATTTTTGTCACAGCAGTAACTTCCCTTGAAGTCAGACGGTTGTTTTGGCAGCGAGAAATGTTACTAAACATTTCTCATTCATTGTGACCCAGTGTGAGCTGAGCTCATTATGTTCAGGGAAGGGAGGATAATAAAATTCCTACTGATATTTGGTGAACGGAATGATTTAGTTCTTTGTTCTCTCAAGTTGTAACACAGGGTGTTTGTCTACCAGCATTTTTAATCAGTTCTTTCAGTTCAAATGCTGAACAACTGCTTTGCCCTCTCTTTGAAATCTGATTATTGCAAAGCTGTCAGGTTGCCTTGGCTTAAAAATATTTGCTAGAATCGTTCTTGTCTAGGTGTCTCCCCTGAGCTAAAGCCACATTTGGGCCACCTCTTTCATACAGAAGTGTCACCACTTCTACACTGAGCTCGGGTTTCTTTCCACATGGGTCTGCTACTTTATAGTTGAAGCGCTCAATGAGCTGGACTGGTGTTGTTGGGTTCAGAAACACACCTCAAGGGAATGAAAGAACATCCCTGGTTAAGGGAGAACTGCAGCTGGAGTGTAAGCTTCTGTTGGTTTAGTGCTCTCTTTACACCTTAGAGCTGGCTCCCCTTGACTGCCTGACTTCTCCCCCTTAGGAGGTTAAAGCTCTGTTTAAAAATGAGAACTGCCCCAAAGTGATCAGCTGTGAGTTTGCTCACAACAACAACTGGTACGTTACATTCCAGTCGGATACGGATGCCCAACAGGTAAGGCTGCCTTCAGCTCTCAGTGACATCTCGGTTTTGTTACTACTACTCCTCCTGCTCAGGAGGATTGCATGTGTGCTTCCTGTGCCTGGCATAAATGGGTGTTTGCTGATACCCCTTTTGTTATTTTAAGAGGTTATTGGCAAGTTCTAGTTAATAGAGAAGAAAGGTGAGAGCCTGTGGGGTTATAACTCCCTTGTCTGCCTCTTGCCTCAGTGCTCTGTGGCCGTAACTGTCATCCAGTATGCTGAATTTGAAGTGCTAATGAATTTAGCTGGGTTAATGGGGTAGTACATTGCCACACGTTTGTGTTAATCGTGCAGTATCCTTGGAGAAGTACAGTTTTATCAAGGTGTCTCATCTCTTTCATATCTGCAGGCATTTAAATACCTAAGGGAAGAAGTGAAAACCTTTCAGGGCAAGCCAGTAATGGTAAGGCTGCATTATGTGAGGATTCTGTTAGAACTGCATTGTGTATTCTTTGTGTTTGGATGATAATGTGCATGGGGGGTGTTATGACACTGAGGAATTAGTGGGATGGTTCATACTACTTGCTCTGTTGGCTGTGAACTTGAATGAGGTCATGGATAGCTCTGAGAAATGACAGTCGTGTGGCTGCTGGTTATTCCCAGTGCTGCTTCCCAGGAGGTGTGAAATACATTCCTGTTTCATCTTCCCTTCTCCACGCTGCCCAGAATCTGGGTCTGCAGAGCTCAGGTCCCTTGCCATCAGGAGTCTCTAGCCTGAGTTAGCTGCTCTGCAGCTAAGGCTCCAGTGATCTGTTTGTACTGTGAGAGGAGCTGTCAGAATTGGAGCCCGGACAATTAACTGCTATAGAAAGCAGTGCCTGTCTTAAACTTGATGGATTCTCTACCTAAAGTGTGTCCTTCCCTTTAGCACGCTGTGAGACTGTAATCTCTCTTGATTTTATCAGTGTTTATTCATAAGCAGTAATCAATCTTCTTCCTCTTAGCATCCCCTGTTACAATTTCAGTAGGCCAGAAGGATTTCTCCTCCTTTTCTCCCAACCCTGCGATGTGATTTGCTGTCTTGCAGGCAAGGATAAAAGCCATCAACACGTTTTTTGCTAAGAATGGTTACCGGGTAGTGGATTCCAGTGTCTACACTCAGCCAGTTCAAACACAAGCACAGTTTGCCTCACCGCTGTTTATGCAGCCTGTATATAGTCCTCAGCAGTACTCAATTTACAGCATCGTGCCTCAGACTTGGTCTCCAAATCCTGCACCTTACTTTGAAACACCACTGGTGAGTAACGGCGGGTGGAAACGTGAGGAGCTAACTCAGAACATCAGGGATCATTTGGTGAGCAGATCAGAAGGGTTAGCGGGCTTCTCAGCTGTAGAATGCACAGGTTTTCTAGTCAGATCCCTCTGTTTTAGGGTACTTCATGTTACATCATGGAATCACATACTGGTTTGGGTTGGAAAGGACCTTAATATCGTCCAGTTCCAACCCCTTCCCATGGGCAGGGACACCTGCCACTAGCCCGGGTTGCCTGAAGCCCTGTCCAGCCTGGCCTTGAGCACTGCCAGGGATGGACCTGCTAAAGCAGCGCTGCCAGAGAGGCTGCAGGGCTCCTCATGGACTGCCACTCACTTCAGTGAGTTCTGGTGTGAAATTCCATTATCCAGTAGCTGGTGTTACTGGAAAAGCTGCAAAGCAGGAGGACTCTGATGTGCAGACTGTTAGCCTGGCAGGGTTTTCACTTCGCAGCGTGCTAGATGGAAAGTACAGGCTAGATGAGTAACTGCTGAAGCTGATCTCATGAAACTGCAAACGTTTCCCTTTTAGTTGAGCCGCTGAGTTGTTGTGTGTGTGTGTGTGTTGCAGGCCCCCTTTCCTAACGGTGGATTTGTGAATGGCTTTAATACACCAGGATCATATAAAACAAATGCTGCTTCGTTGAGTATAGGTCGCCCATTCCATAGAAATCGGTAAGACAGCTCTGTTTGCTCTCTGAGAACTTCCAGTATGGAGATGCTGAAGTGTTCCTTGCCCTTGTAAAATGCAATGCCTTCTGATGGGATTGGGTCGCTTTATCAAATATGTATGACATCTGCCAATTGGATTTATAAGAGAAAATCAAGGTGGCAGCTTAAGATCCTAAAATAGTGGATGCATTTGCTGGAGAGAGCAAAGGTAACTCCTTTAAAAGCCTCAGAGGAACTCCTGCAGACAAATAACTAACTTCCTCCTAAGGTAACACTTCTAATTATGTTTGTTATACACAGATGATAAACTCCTGCAGCACAAGAGTAAGCTTTTCCTGTCGTGTGATGAGTCTTGCAGGGAGCCATTCAGTTTATGCAGCTGAGAGTTGCATGCCCTGACTGCTGTGTGCTAAAACTTCTTGATGCTGAGTCTGGGCCTGTAATTTATTTGCTTTATCCCCATCTTTCCTGTTAACTGTAAGGACTCAGCTCAGATATAAACACTGAGGGGGGAGGAAACAGCTTTGTATGTGCTGAAAGTGTACTCTGTAAATACAATGGAGTCGTAATCTGTTTGTGTGGGTGGGAATTGTTTTATTTGCAAGCTCTTTCACTGTATCCTGTGGGAATGGGAACTGCTTTTTATATCCTTTGAGAAGTCGGTTGACAACTGCCAGTACATAAGAGGGCTTGTGATGCAGTTAAAGGTCTGTGGCTGTTGGCAGAAGGTGAACTTCAGAATCTGCTCTGCAGTGACTCAGCAGAGTCTTAATGCAGGCTGTGAAACTGGGAGCATGACTCCACTTGGGAGCCAGGGCAGCTGATTCAGTTCCAGCTGCTCTGCTCCCAGTTAAGGTCTTTTTATAAAGGTGTTTGAGTTCTGTAGGGTTTTCTTTTTTTTTGCCTTAAATTGTGCTCAGACTTAAAACTCTCATGTATAGGGATCCTGTCAGAAGTTCTGGCTGCTGAAACAACACAGGAGTTGTACACACCCAAGCATTGACATCTTGAAATGCCCATACATTCACTGCTGCCTTGTAGATCACATCTGTGTGATCCTTAAGCTTTTAGAAGTCTTCTGGTTACGTCCAGGCTGAGTTGTGAAGTCAGGGCTTTAGGGTCAAGCGTGGACAGGTTCTGCTGGTCTGTCTTGGTTGTCTTATCGTTCCTGCCAGTCCTGCTCAGCCTTTGCTTGTACAAGGCTCTGGTTTTGAGCTGATAAACCTTCCTGTTGTGACAGCAGCTCCACTTCAGCAGGATTTCTCTGCAGACCGGAGACAGGGAAGGCAGCAGCCTCCAAGGTTTGGCCCAGTGATGATCAAGTATCGCGCTAAGAGAGAACAGGTCCGACAGTTGGCTGTCTGGGCAGCCTGCACCTCATGCTTTTCCTTCCTTTTGCTCTCTCATGTCATCTCTCCTTCTCTCTGCTTTTTTTCCTTTCCTTATCTTTCCTCGTCTTTTCTGCTTTGCTCTTCTGCCCAGACAACACTGCGGCCTTCTCAGTGACGGGTAAGATTATGAGATCTGAGGGCTGCAAAATGACTTGAGGATCTTCCAGTTTGAGAACAAGTTGAACCAAACGAAAGAATTCAGTTCCCTTACCTCCTCCCCGTGGTGTCTGCTGATGGAAGACTTTACCTTACTGGGGCCTTAAACCTGGTACTTAATGCTGCTTGAATTAACCTTTGCTCGGCACTGCAGACCAGCAGTTCTTGCTCCAGTTCAGTTTTGTTGCTTGTGGCTGGATCAATTTGGTCCTCAGCATGGACTTATTTCTCCACGTTGCTGCCAATGCCCCCGTGCTGCAGGCCCAGGCAAAGGAAGAATCCCTTGTTGGGTTCTTCCAGTTCTTCCACCGCTCCTAGCCTTTGGGTGGGTTTTTTTGTTGTTGTTGGTTGAGGGGTTTTTTTGGGGTGTCCCCCTCTTTGAAATCTATTGGGCAGCGACTTCAGTGTTTTCTTCAAACGGCACCGCTTGAAAGGAGAGGAGGTTGCAACAAAGCCCTTACCAAAAGGAATAGATGGAGGTAAGGAAGAGCGGTGTTTCCTGAGCTCCTTTGCCAGCTGTGACTGCACTGTAGTTGGTGGTGGTTCCGTGCCTCGTGGTTTGGGTGACTGAGATGCTGCTCTGTGTCCCGCAGCGTGAAGCCCCACTTCCGATCATCCAGCAGCTCGGAACACGCTGCGGAGGGTCCAGCTGCCCTCGGTACCATGCCCATGGGGGACGGACCACTGAACAGAGCCAGCTCAAGGAGTTTTGTTATGGAGCGACATAACAGCACGGTAACTGGCCACCAAGACCAAGGTTATTCCCAGAAGGATTCTCCTGCTGCACAGATGGAGCAGAATGGCGATTATGGCATTGGCAGGGGCAGGTAAAGAACCAGCTGTGCTGCTTTTTGCTGTAAAACACCATGAGGCAGCTGGGACATGGTGCTGTGGGTTTGACTGACTTGTGTTAGCCAAGGGTCACCAGCCATTGGCACAGTATGTATTTCTGATGGGGAAAGCTGGTGTCTAAACAAACCAGGTGCAGTAAACACTTAACTGGGCACACGGCTGCTTCCTGCTTGACTGTACAGCTGTCAGTTGTTCTGACAAACCCCTTGCAGTGAGGCAGTGAGGTGTCTTTGTTTCAGTATAACTGCCTGGTTTGTGGCCTGAATTAAAGCAGTTGGTACTTGTGTTGCTGTAAATAAGAAGCAAATCCTCGTTTGGGGAATTTAATGCTCCTAAATGTTTTAAAGTTAACTGGTTCTATGTTCTGTCTGTTAAATCATTTAAAAATACGTGACCAAGACAGAGATGTGAGAAATCAGATGACTTCTATAAAATTATAGGATACTTTTCTATGATGGTACAGTCTCGTTGTGCCTCGTTCAGATACAGTGCTGTAGGGTACCTCCTCCATGGGGAGAGAAAAGGGAACTTGTTTACTGTATTGGCTATGAGCCAGCAGTGACTCCTCCTGAAGATGGAGAACATCCCAGAACTGTATCTTGAGGAACATCAGTAGGCTGCTGTAAATTCCCTGCCACAGGCTCCCCTTTGTGCGGATGAGTGTGCACTTCAGCTGCGTGAATGCACTTACTGACTCTGCTCTCCCTTTAAAGGAGGAACGTTTTCAGAGGTCGGAGGAGACGAGAAGACGACCGGGTTTCAGTAAGTTCTGCTTCCCTTACCGCAAGGAGTTGCACTCAGTGCAGTGTGCTGGCTTTGCGTTGGCTGGGGGAATGGTGTAGTCCTTAAGTTCCCAGGTTACGGTGTGGGGTTTCAGTGAGGAAATGCTCTGACACTCCCCCTGTTACAGCCCCATTAACGGGTATTCTCCTTCTCTAGAGACCTCAGCCTTCAGCAGAAACAAAGACTCAGACACCAAAGTTTGATTTGCTAGCATCAAATTTCCCACCTTTGCCTGGCAGCACGGCAAAAATACCAGGAGAGCCTGTGCTGGAGAGCAGGATGTCCGACATCGTTAAAGGAGTCTGCAAAGAAAAGGTACCTGCTCCTCCCTGGCACGTGCACAGTGAGCTGTATGTGCTGCCTCTCCCTTCTGCCCTGCTTAAAGAATCAGTTTTAGAGCTGCACATTAGAATGCTTCAAGCCCAAGCATTGTACTAGGCTTGTTAATCTAATAGTTAACCTGTTTGCTTTGCCCCTATAAAGAGTGCTTGCTTTAGAGATGATGCTCTAAAAGAAGTAAAATTCCCATAACCAGACTTTGTAAATAGTGTTCTTCTTGGATGTCTTGAACTGGCATATTGAGGAGCAGTTGAAGCACATTCTGATCTTTCCATCCTTTGCAATTTACCCTTTCTGTGCAGGAAAGCAAAGATTTGCTGCCCAGCTCTCCAGCCCCTGCTCAGGAAGAAGAGACGCACAGCCCTGTCCAACAGCCTGTGGCAAGTGTGAGTTCACCAAGTCAGACTGAAGCTGTGGTCTTAAGGTATGGAGATTACTTAAGAATATTATAGTTTGCATGCTCTTAGCAAAGAATGGTGGTGTTTCTTCTCCCTCTGAGGTAGGCAGCTTCTCTAGAGGCCACTAGATGGAAGTAACAAATGGTGGTAATGGCCCTAAAAACCCTCAGTTGTGACTTCAAAGGAAGAAAACGCTTTCTCACACGGTGATTTCTGTGTGAATAGGCTTTAATGATAAATTGTTCTTGATGTAACAGCACAGTTCAGCCAGAGAGCAAGCCAGAAGAAGCGTCTGCTCAGAAAGAAGTCACAAGCCACGTTTCCCCACCCGTGTCTGTGTCTCCTACCAGTGCTGCAAAGCCACCAAGGACAAATACCACTTCACCTTCTGCTAATGCAAGTGCAGCTCCTGCTTTGTTGATGCAGGTGAGGCCCAGAGCAAGGAGTGGGTGGGGAACGTGGGGACCTTTCTCTTGGATGTGCTGTAGTGCCTGGGACCTTCTCATGTGGAGTTTGCCACAGCTTGTAGTGTAATCATAGAATCATAGGATCGTTAGGGTTGGAAAGGACCTTAAGATCATCCAGTTCCTGCCATGGGCAGGGACACCTCACACTAAACCAGGTCACCCAAGGCTCTGTCCAACCTGGTCTTGAACACTGCCAGGGATGGAGCATTCCCAACCTCCCTGGGCAACCCATTCCAGTGCCTCAGCACCCTCACAGGAAAGAATTTCCTCCTTAGATCCAACCTAAACTTCCCCTGTTTCAGTTTGAACCCGTTACCCCTTGTCCTGTCACTGCAGTCCCTAATGAAGAGTCCCTCCCCAGCATCCCTATAGCCCCCTTCAGATAACGGTTCCTCGTACACGTTCTCGCTGTCGTGCCTGTGACGGGGTGGAAGAGCACAGCGTGGTTGTTCTGGTACATGAACCTTGCTCTTCTCCCTTGGTCCCAAAGGAGCCCCGCAAGCTAAGTTACGCTGAAGTTTGCCAGAAGCCCCCAAAGGAGCCTCCTCCGGTCCCTGTTCAGCCTCTCCGGGAGCATCGCACCAACATCGTTCCCCCTGCCAAACCCGAAGACAACGGTACGCCCGAGAAGGCTTCGGAGCGGGCTCCCGACAAGGCTGAAGGCCGGCTGAAGGATTATTCTGGCTTCCGAGGCAACGGGCCTGCCAGGGGAGCTGCTGGGAAAATCAGGGAACAGAGGCGCCAGTTTGGACGCAGATCATCGCCTCAGGGAGCACCTCGGCGTGTCGGCAAGGAGCAGTACGTGCCACCCCGCTCACCAAAGTAACACCTGGCCAGCCAGTTGTTCCTCTGCTTCGTTTGAGCTGTGGACAGATAAGCAGCAAAAGGAGACTGTGAGAAAGGAGTATTCACGAAGGGGAATACTGAACTGGAGCGCGGCTTGTGCGGAGAAGTTGGGGAGGGTCCCGAAATTCATCTCTCAAAGTGATTTCACAGATGCTGGAGGATTCCAATCGATATAAATATAGAGATTATAATTTTTGTATTTTTTTTTTTGTTTTGTTTTTAATTTGCAGAGGGTTTCCTGCTTGAAATCAGGTTTGGGCTTGTGAACGTAGCGTTTTGACAAAGCGAAAGGATATGAATTGAGAAGTTCCCCTGTCCCTCAGTGGAGGAGGAAAAGGATAAGAGAATATTATTTTTGAGAAATCTCTAGCATTTCTGTACAATTAGAACTTTTTTTTTTTTTAACCTATTTAACATTTGGCTTTGGGGCTGATGCATCTGCCCTTGATGGCCTTGCATTGCAGAGCACGTCTGCCGCCGAGGTGCTTGGTCGGTGTGAGTGGAGTGACTGCAGCCAGGTACCGTTGTCATGGCTTAGTCACCGATGATACAAACTGAATGTACTACTGTAGTAAACCTGGTGTTTCCAGCTTGAAGTAGAGTCTCTTGACCTTACTAATGATTCATTCAGCAAGCTTTTTTTAAACTATCATTTTCAGGATGCTGGACTGTAGATGGGAGCACGTGGACAACAAAACTTGTCTTCAGAAGGAGCCTAAAGGGAGCCCGATGGAATTTTTCATTGGCCCTTTTTCTTCGCCTCCTTTTGAAGGCAGTTTCTTAGGTTTGGGGTTGGTTTTACTTTTTTCCCTTGCTTGTTACTTTCTCTAATCTCTTTATTACAGACTTTTTGTGCATTTCTCTTGCTATGTTTTCCTGAGGCAGGCCCAGTGTAGGATTGATGGGCGGCTACACAGTACTTCATGAGCGAAGAGCCTGGGATTCCAGTGGTGGATGTGGAATTCTGCCTTGCAGGTGGGAACTGTGGGCACAGAGCTCTGCCTGTCCCACAAGGGTTAGACTGCTGTCTCTTTGGCTAGCAAATCAGAGACGTGGCTGGGTTTTCTATACACTGACAGGCATGCATGTTGGTGTATGTACTGACAGCCTCCCCATGAAAGGAGGTTTGAACTAGAAGATCTTTAAGGTCCCTTCCAAACCGTTCTATGAGTTGTGTTCTGGAGTAGGGTATTGGATGCTGTATGCTAGAAATCAGGGTTTATATGTACTGGGAACTCACTGTTTACAGCTGATGTAGTAGCAACTGACTTTTTAACTGTTTAAAGTGGAACTAAAGGTGAAGAGTTAAACCCCTCATGCTCGGAGAAGCTGCTTGGAAGGTAGTGTCTTGCCTAGCTGTGTGCTGACTAAATTTGCAACACTATTGTGTAGTAAGTGGTTAAGTTTCAAGGTGATTACCATAAAGACTGAAATAGGAAAATTCAGTGCATTAATCGGCCAAAATCAGCATGCCAGGGTTCAAAGTTCTGTATAAAGCGTTAGGGAAAAGTAGCTTCCAGCAGTAAGAATCACACCTTTTTGGGTTTTCTCTATTTTTCCTTTTTTTTTTTTTTCTTTTAGTGAATAGCAAGTGTACAAATTTAAAGTCGTAAGTTGTGAACACTGGAAAACTCAATTGTGATATATACCGTAAACATCTTAGTAATATATTAGTGTTGCCATTAGAATGAATGTAAGTGGCAGTTCAGATAACTGTGAAGACTTTTCATCTTCTGGTTTCTTAGCCAGATAATCCTTGGCGACTTCTTACTCAGTAGGCATTCTCTATCAACTGCTTTGAGAACACTCATATCTATTTTTATAAATATATATATAAAGCCAGAGTTGTCATTTCTCTAACTTATTATTCAGCTTGGCAATTGCTTTGATTTGATTCATAACACGATATAATGTATTTATGCAATTAACTGTTCATTTCTACGCATGTTATATATATACACACACATATATATATATATATATATGAACCCCAAAATCATTATTCACTTTGAAACTACCTGTACTGGGCTTGGGACGGGTTTTTTTGATTTAGTAAAAGAAATCCTTGATCACGTCTCCAGTTTAGGGATGCTTACGAGCCCTTTGCCATTTATCTCGATAATGCTACATCTGTTGGAACGACAGAGGAGTCGGAATGCTTACAAGCGTTCCGAGTTCTGAAGTGTAAGGAATTCAGCGTTAATTTTGCATCATTTTAAAGGCCATAAGGAATTACTGCAGTCCAGCTGGAGAAACAAAGCTGTATGATAGTCGCAGATATTTAGGATAGATGTGCACTGTCGTGGCAAAGTGGAGGAAGCGTTGGGATGCGAGCGGCTGCTGTGAGCTGTTTGCTGCTCCGAGGAGCTCCTCTTTGGGAAGAGACTTGTGGAGATCTTCCTCTCCAGGCTCTGGGGTGAGGGCATGGAGCTAATCCTGATCCATGCAGGCATCCGCTTCCAGGGCAGTGCAGAGAGTAACTGCGTAGTGCTGAAGGTATCCAAGTTGTTAAGGATTGTGAAATGTAACTTCTTCATTTATTAGATATGGGGAAGGGGGGGGGGGAACCCCAAACTGCAGTTCAGTCTTGGTTTTGTGAGGCGATTGGGAAAGCTTGACCATGGAAAGGATGCTTTGTATGTCCTGGGTGTGCGTTTTCCAGCAGCAGATTATGGCTCTTATACAGTGTAGGCAAGTAAGTCTGTAAACCCGTTGGCTGTTTCCAGCATAGCCAAACTTGGATGAGGACAGTCACCATTATTTATTTAATACCTGCGTGCAAGGATTTAACTTCAGCGTTTCCCTTCCTCCCCCAGTGCCATTGGTAACTGTGGTTTTGTTTTCTTTCCTTTCTATTCTTTTACGTGTGTGTGCGTGTGGGGAATAAGTAAATATAAAGGCTGTGAAAACCATAGTTTTGTGTGCAAGTTCTCCTGCAGTACTTGTATTGCATGGCAAACGTATAACCTAGATGGCTAGCTGCTACATTCTCCTCCCCACTGGGGACACGGGCAAGGCCTTGTGTCTCTCTGCCTGTGTCTGCGTGTTGTGACAGACTGGGGGATGCGGGGACGGAGCCAGACTGACTGCCAGCACAGCTCCTCGTGCCCTTGGAGCTGGATCAGTTCCTCAGCAGAGGTGAAACTGTCCCTTGGTCAACAGCCACGTTCGTTGACGTGACAAGTGACGGTTCTCCGTGGTGCCTTCTTGGGTGTAAAAGTACCAGAAGGTGCAAATCCCACCTCACTTTTGAGGTTTAGGAGCTGTGGCTTGCTTTCAGCGTTGTTGGCTTTTGTTAGCTGCAGAAGTACACTTCCCCAAGTTACCTTCTTTTCCAGATCGTTGTGCACGGAAGGGATTGGGCCGCTCTCTTGTCCTTCTGCTGAGGAGTGAAAAAGAGAAGTTTTAACTGTTTGCATGTGATAGGAAAATTACAAGTGCAAAAAAACAAAAGTTTGGGGTTTATTTCCTTTTGGTTTCTAAAATTAAGTTAGGTTTCTAGCATCTTACATTCCTGCTATCTTTGTTTTGTCTTTTAAAAACCATAAAGAAAGAGTTAGCCTGGCACAGTAGGATGGTGCAGTTTTAGCAGTAGGTTAAAAAAAAAAAGAATTAAAAAAAGGCAAAAAAAATTAAAAAAAAAAAAGTAACCCACTCTATTAACCAGAAGAGAAAGATGATACTGTGGCAAATCAGTAGCAAATAAGTGACTTAATCGATGCTTTACTGTAGTTAAATAGCTATGGCCTTACTACTTTGTCGATATCAGCTTAATTGTCTTGAAACTGTCTGCTCTTTTTACTGTTAACCCGAGTGAACGTTCACCTGGGGTAGAATACCTGCTATGTACAGATGAGGATATTTTAAACCTGTAAAATGCGCCATTGTATTACAGACGATGCAACAGAAATGCACTTCGGGGGGAAACCTTGCTTTTTTTTTTGTAAATCCTTGATGACTACAGATATGCAATAGAAGTTTGTTTCTTTGTTTGTTTCTAATTTTGATATTTCCTTCTTGAAACATTAAGATCGTTGCCATTAATCCGAATGATTTCTCATGCTCTTCTTTTGTGTGTGTATATACTACAGCTAGTGCGAGCTTCCTTTAGGGTGGTACCTAACCTGGGTTTGTTGGAGTGTTTTAGGTGGCTCTTTAAGTGCCTTTAGCAGGGGCACTTCAAGAAGTGAATCGAGTCTGTTTTCATGTACAGTTGGGAGGACTTGAAATGGAGTGAAAGCAGCTTAGTGCTGAAAGAGAGATAAATCCATCTGCAACCTAACCTGTAACAACTTTAAAGTTTTATATTTAAGAACCAGAGGTTTATTTTTATGGAGCTTCAGTTATGGATACAGTTTCCAAAAAAAAAAAAGAAAAAAAAAGAAAAAAGAAAGAAAAAAAAAAAGCGATTTCCAATGTAAAGACTGTGCAGAAATGGTTGTTTTTGTTCTAATTTTTATAGAATACAAGATATTCAGATAATATATTGAGCTCATGTTACCGCAGCCTTCTCCTTCCTCCCGGATGAATCCAGCTGCCCCTTGGCATTTGTGATCCCTCTCTTCACAGCGGTAGGGCTGCAGTGGAAGGAGAAAAGCAAAGCAAAGGCTCCGGCTTCTCTCCTGTGTCCGTTCCGGCATCGCCCCGTTGTCAGCCCTCTGTGAAGCAGGTTCATGCTTTAACTGTTCCAATGATGACGACGTGCTGTTTGTATTTGTTTCTGACATTGCCAAGGTGCTATGGGAAATTGAAATAACAGGTAGAAAAATAAAGCTGATTTAAAAGGAAAAAAAAAAAAAACACAAAAAACCACACCAAAAAACAAACCAAACTCCCACCCAACTCGTGGAATTCCATGTGTTTTGCTGGGCTCAGCTTGAAATGGGGTTTCCTTTGGTTACCTTTATTTATTGCTTAACACAGGGGGGACCAAACTTTGGGGGTTTAGCCCCATTTTGCCCATTCTGAAGGCCACGGGGGGGGGGGGGAGGGCGAGGCCTGTTGTCCATGTGGGGATGCCATAAAAGGGGGTGATGCTACCACAACCCTGCCCTCACTTCCCCCTCCGACAGCACCGACACGAGGCGCTGTCGCGATAGTTGCTCCGCTGTCGGTGCCGGGTCGCGACGGCGCTTCCCGGCCGAAGGAGCGGGGCGGTCTGAGGGGGTGCGGGTGTTGCGGGGGGGGGACCCACGGCCCCGGTGCCCTGGGTCCGGCCGGGAGCGCTCGCTGAGACCGGGGCGGGCGAACCGAGGCCTCCGGGAGCGGCTCCGGTGGGGCCGGGAGCTGCAGGGAAGGGGCCGGGCCGCTAGGGGGCGCCCTAGGGTGAGGCTTGTCGGGCGCGCCGCCCCCGTCACGTGACGCTGGGGCTCAGCATGGCGGAGGTGGCGGCCGCTCCCGCTGTGCCCGCGGACCGGAGCCCCCGGCGCTGAAGCCGGAGCCGAGCCCCGTGCTTGGGCCCTGCCTTCGGCCCCCGTCCCCTTCCGCACGCCATGGCCGAGCCGGCGGCAGCGGGGGTCTCGTCGCTGCCCCGCGAGGTCCGTGAGCAGCTGGCGGAGCTGGAGCTGGAGCTCTCCGAAGGTGAGGAGCGGAGCGCCGGGAGCGAGCCCGGCCCGTCCTGCCCTGGCCTCGGGGCCCGGGGGAGCCTCCGTGTGTGGAGGCCGAGAGGCGGTGAGGGTGGAGGGGGGCTGAAGGGAGAGGAGGCCCGGGGTGTGCGGCCGGGGGGGGGGGGGCTGGGTGTGAGGAGGCCGGGAATGGGGCTCGGGGGCCGGCGGTGCGGGGGCTGCCGTCGGGGCTGGGCTGGGGTTGGGGGGGGGGACACCCCCTCAATGGGGCTTTGCTTCTTGTGGCCCTTTCCCGGTAGTTTCTAAGCTGAAGGATGCGGAGCGGGAGGGAGGGAGCCTGGGGGGCAGGCGGTGGGGCTGGGGGGGACGGGCGGACGGAGGAACCTGGGGTACGCAGTGAAGCCGGAGCCGTTTCCACTTCGTGGCCGAGTTCTGTTGCGGGGCCATCACCGGGACAGAGCCTGCGTGTTCCGGAGGGGGTTTTGTGCTGGTGCCTCCTCTGCATGGGTCCGGCTTTGTTTCTGAGGGCTCAAACTGCGGCTCTCGGTATCGCGTTGTTATAAACCCCCATAACCCCCCTCCCCACGGAGCCCGAGGGATGAATCCGAGGGTGAAGGCTGCAGAGCAGGTAGCGCTGTTTTGCATTGCTTTGATTTACCCTCCATCAGGGCACGGAGCTTGGTGCCATCAGCATGGGAGGGCTCGCGCTGTGCTCCCACTGAGTACGAAACCCGAGGCAGAATCAAGCCGTGGTCGCATCCGTCTTCATCCTCTCTTTGCCCCAGCACCTGCAGTGTGTACGGAGGCCATTGACTGAAGCCAAGAGCGGGGCTTCATTCCCTGAGCTGGGGGCTGGCAGCCCCCCATTGCTCGCAGTGCTGCTTGGATGTGGTTTATGGGGAGGCCTTGGTGGTGCTTTCTTAACTCGTTTGTAGGCAAACTTTAACATTAGCTTTTATTTCCCCTTTTCTTTCCCTTTGTCAGCTGTTTTCAGATGTGTTTTCTGTACGCGTTTAACCGAAGGGATAACATTGTCTGCTGTTTGGTTCTGGGTACTCCAGGCTAACAAAGAACTGCAGAGCGTTCCCGTTGCTCCGAATGCAATACGACGTGATTTTGGGGGGTGTTCTTTACTATTTGCTGTTGGTTTTAAGCATTTGCTTGGAGTTTATGGAAGTGGTGATACCGAAAGCCCGTTAGAGTTTGACCCCGTACCAAAAATAGATCTTTTTGCTAAAATAACTGTGATATGGTGCTGATTTTTAACAAGCTGCTCAAATAGCTTCAGCTTCAGTGCTAAAGAGGGAAGTTTTCTGTGTTCTGTAAGGAATTCTCTGCATATTTAATCCACCGCCCCCTTTGTGGATTTAATCCTCGGGCATCTTATGGATTTGTTTGTGCAAATCATGGAATGGTTTGGGTTGGAAAGGGCCTGAAGCTCATCCAGTTCCATCCCCCTGCCATGGGCAGGGACACCTCACACTAAACCAGGTCACCCAAGGCTCTGTCCGACCTGGCCTTGAACACTGCCAGGGATGGAGCATTCCCAACCTCCCTGGGCAACCCATTCCAGTGCCTCAGCACCCTCACAGCAAAGAACTTCCTCTTTAGTTCCACTCTAAACTTCCCCTGTTTCAGTTTGAACCTGTTACCCCTTGTCCTGTCACTGCAGTCCCTAATGAAGAGTCCCTCCCCAGCATCCCCATAGCCCCCCTTCAGATACTGGCAGGCTGCTGAACTTCACATCACTTTTTCTATCACCCCCGCTCCATGATCCCATAGAACTTTGTGTGGCTGTGCCCCCGGCCTCTTGGAAACATTTTCCATGGTATCTTGGTGCTGAGATAACTGAGGTCTGCCCTGTAAAGGAGCTGAGTGAGTCAGCCCGGGAACGTCATCGTATGGGTCTTGAAACATACGCCCTAGTTTGAGCCTTAAGCTCCCAGATTCGAAGGCGTGTGTGTGCATTGTGCCACTGACTGGAGCCAGGGCCTGTGCGTAGTAAACAACGCTGAATAGGAGCATTTCATTAGGACCAGCAGCAGTGCCTCACGTTGAGCTGCTTCGTTGTTGCCCCCATAACAACACTTGAGCCTTTATTCCCCCGCCTTCTCATTGCAGCCTTATTTGTCTCTGGGCTTAACTGTTTGCTGTGTAAATGCTTCTGGGTGCAGACACCTTGCTTTTGGAACAGGAGGGGAGCTGCAGCTGCAGGGAGCTCGTGCAGGAAGCAAGGTGCTCAGTCCTTGAGGTGCGATCCCATGGGCAGGATAGGGTTTGGAAGATGCCTTCGGATGCTGGAGGCTGCAGGCTGAGGGCGTGGAGAACTTGGGTGCTGGTCCCAGCAGTGAGTTCTGCTGTGCAGGGCTCTGTTAACGCTCCCCAGCACGGTGCAGAGAACTCCTAACAATATAGGGGAAATCCAGTATTCAAATGTTATCTGGCGTTCTGCTTGGGAAAGTTGCTGTGTCAGCAAGTCGGATGCAGAATGGAGCGGGATTAGTTTAATGTCTGCTTAAAATAGGAGCTGTAGTTTGCAGTGGTGAGGCTTCCTTCAGGAGCAGTCTGTGCAGACAGAACAGCAGGGCAAATTATACCTCTGCCATTCCTGGGGTATTCCATACGGAGCCCTGTGGTCAGCATGGAAGTAAGAGTAGCCCTGCTCCTGAGTACGTGTAAGGTGTCTGAGCAGAGCAGTGGGGTGTGCTTCAAGAAATGGTGGCTATTAGTGAACACAGACTGCATTATTTCAGTCTTTATTGTGTGTCTTTATTTGGCCTCAGTGACTGGTTTGAGCCTAACTCAGTTATTTGGAAGTGTAGATAAGAATTCCCATTGTCTTCCATCAATGGGAAGTGTGTCATACCCAAATCTTACCCACTGCACGTTATGGAGGCATCCCATTCCCTTACGGAAGGGCCCAGTGTTGTTGTAAGCCTCTAAGTGTTGAAAGCACAAGGACTGAAGCTGAGCAGTGAATTGGGTCATGGAGCTGTGAACCTGGAACCTGCTCATCATTACTCAGGTTTTCCCTCTTTTCCCACTTGTGTTTTCTTTCTTTCTGCTGCTTTTCTTCATCAGTCAGTACCACCCACATCCTGCATCCCTAACGATGGGAAGGGCTGGGGTTGTATTTGCATCTGCTTCTTGTTCATGAGCACAACTGCCAGGGATATTAACTTTAAAGAAGACTCCCCCCCCAAGTTTTACATCTCTTTGTGCATGGGAGCTCAGCCCCATGCCTTTGGGCTTGAGCTGCAGCCGTGTGTCCGGGTGGCTCTGCATCCACAATGTGATGCTGTTCCTTCCAGGGCTCGCCCTGTGTGCTGAGGAGCTCCCAGAACGAGGTAAATGGCTCTCTTTGTCCCATATTCACCTGTAAACCCTGGTGTTAAAGCACCCCAGCACCCAGCCTGGGGGACCTCTGCGTGCTCGTAGGGTTTTCTCAGGCAGCTCCTCTCACGTTAAGCTCATCACAGCGATGTT